TTGATATCCGAACACATGAAAAGAGAGAGAGAGAAGAGAGAGAGAGAGAGAGAGGAGAGAGGGATGAGAGAGAGGAGAGAGAGAGAGAGAGAGAGAGAGAGAGAGAGATGAGAGAGAGAGAGAGAGAGAGAGAGAGAGAGAGAGAGAGAGAGAGAGAGAGAGAGAGAGAGAGAGAGAGAGAGAGTGAAATACGCGTGTACAGGAGCGGGCACCACCAATACTAACAATGTTAGGAAGGAAGACAGGCAGCCACGCACTCTCTCTCCCTCCTTCCCTCTGCTGACCCTCACCCTCTTCCCTCTCATCCACCTCTCACCGACCCTCCCTTCTCCCTCTCAAGTCGCTCTCGACCTACTCTTGTTCCACCTCTCTCTCTCTCTCTCTCTCTCTCTCTCTCTCTCTCTCTCTCTCTCTCTCTCTCTCTCTCTCTCTCTCTCTCTCTCTCTCTCTTTTATTCACTTTATCCTTCTCTCCCTTTCTCCATTTCCTCCGTAAAATCAAGCCTCATCCCTCACAATAGGCAACTAACTCTACCTCCTCCAACGGAATCGTCCAAGAGGTCTGACATAATGCCTTTTCCACCATTACCTTTCAATCCCCTCACTTAACAACCCGCTGTAATCACTTGATTTACTGCAAGATGATTAAGTAGTCCATGCAAGTGTCCCGGAGGCCATGTTTAAGTCACAAGGCATCGTGTGTTTCATAAATGATTCAGGAGCCTAAAACATGTGGAAAATTCATTTTTGTTGTCGGCGGATGGAGCATTTATTACATTTGGGTCGTGTGTGTTTTTCTGGTTATAGTTGTTTGCTAAAGTTTTCGTTCGTGTAAAGAGTCAAGGACAGTAGAGTATGGTATTGTATTCATGTCTTTGTTCTACATGTAAAATTTAGACAGGTAGACGCACCAGCACGCACAAACACACAGTCATGTGAGGTGGGACCAAAGAGCCAGAGCTCAACCCCCGCAAGCACAATTAGGTAAGTACACACCATATGCCAAACTCGACAGCATTCTGATAGCTTTCAGGAGCACTGACAAGGAGCGCATGTAAAGAGAAGGGGTCTCAGGAGCTGATGCACGACCCTGCCAGCACACACACACACACAGATGAACAGAGATTAATTGATTGATAAAGATTAAGCCACCCAAAAGGTGGCACGGGCATGAATAGCCCGTAAAGATGAGCACAAGTAGGTGAGTGAATACACAGAGGGACCAGTGCGCGCTATATAGTGTTACCCAGACTTAAGCTCAGGTAATCCAGCAGGTAATTAGCAGGGCCGCACGCCCCCCCCCCCTTCCCCCCTGTAATAACACCTTATCAGTTATAACACAAACTCCGCTTTCAAGAGCCTTCTAGCAAAGGCTAACAGGAGTTGCCGTTACTTTCCTTATCAGTGAGATTTTAACATGTCTAAAGACTTTTTACTCTCGACATTGCTGTCCCAAAACGTCTAAGAGAAGAAAAGTTGTTATCTGTAGCGACTTTAAGGCGCAAGTGTAGGAAAGGTTCGTAAAGTGGGAATAAAGTGTGGAAAGCAGGTGGAGAAAACGTGCTTGTGTATATATTGATATATCGGCGTGTGGCAACACTGGCAAGGGGGGTCGCTGCTTTTGCCATATGAGGGTTTGACCTCCTGCTGTGTCATCACCATGTAACGGTATCCATGTCTCTCTCATTCCCTTCTCTTCCATTACCTGTTCATTCCCTTCTCTTCCACTACTTGTTCATTTCCTTCTCTAACATTACTTGTTCAGTCCCTCCTCTTCCAGTACTTGTTCATTCCCTTCTCTTCCATTACCTGTTCATTCCAATCTCTTCCATTCCTCCCTTCCCTCATATTCCTTTCAATCCTTTCCCCCTTTATTCGCTATCCTTTACTATTCAAAAAGTATCTTATATTTATTGTACTTTTTTTATTAATCATACGTTTTAGTATTATTTTATCTTATTTCTCTCCAACTTTTATTTCCAAAAAAAATTATCCATTCTCTCTTGTAGTTTAATGTTTCATCTTCATTCGTCACTATATAGCATATCCTGAACCCTTGTTCTTTCACCTCATAGTCTCTTTTGGTGAATTTGTTATGGCTTTCTCATGTCTGCCTGTCTGTCTTATATCTGTCTGCCGTGGCCACTACCGTTACTAGGAGCCAACAGGAGCCGTGGCCACTACCGTTACCACGAGCCAACAGGACCGTGGCCACTACCGTTACCACGAGCCAACAGGACCGTGGCCACTACCGTTACCACGAGCCAACAGGACCGTGGCCACTACCGTTACCACGAGCCAACAGGACCGTGGCCACTACCGTTACTAGGAGCCAACAGGAGCCGTGGCCACTACCGTTACTGCTATCATTCTCCTCAGACCTGGCAATCACTCCACGGTAAACACTCCGCTCTCGAGTCTATATAACCAGGGAGGCTAATCGGAACAAAAACTTGGTACTTTCCTTAATGACATAAAATGAAGTTTGGCCCAATCGCACAAAGAAACCACCACAGGCTGCATTCTAATTGGGCAATAGGTTATCTTGAGGTTATCTTGAGATGATTTCGGGGCTTTTTTAGTGTCCCCGCGGCCGGTCCTAGACCAGGCCTCCACCCCCAGGAAGCAGCCCGTGAGAGCTGACTAACACCCAGGTACCTATTTTACTGCTAGGTAACAGGAGCATAGGGTGAAAGAAACTCTGCCCATTGTTTCTCGCCGGCGCCTGGGATCGAACCCAGGACCACAGGATCACAAGTCCAGCGTGCTGTCCGCTCGGCCGACCGGCTCCCCGCTCGGCCGGACCGGCAAGGAGGGATACGTGACACATACTGAATATGGGAGTTAGGGATTAACGGTCATGACCAAGGTGAGACCACACAACATATTAGCGGTGCCTATAATTTGACCAATTTGGTCATGTGGTCTAGGTCAGACGTAAGTGGTAAAAGTGGTCACGAAGCCGTAGTCGCGGTCGAACAATGTTTACAAACAATTACCTTTAGGGGGAAGCCTCAAGAGGAGGAGAGATTTTCCGTCACTATACAAATTATGTTTTAAAACCAATATATAGGTTCCAGTCACAAGGTTATATATATATATCTTTTCACTTATAGCCCATTCATTCATAACACATGAATGTATATGCAATGTGTACTTTACTTAAACTAACGTGTTATAAATGCCCTTTTGAGCGAATACCTCGGTAACATCATGTTTTGGTGACAGGATGAACAACTCAGCGGGTTTTGGGAGTATTGTACATACTGCTATGGCGGTATGTCCACTCACAAGATGAGTGGCACTGCCCAATACTGTCACTATGGCGGTATGTCCACTCACAAGATGAGTGGCACTGCCCAATACTGTCACTATGGCGGTGTGTCCACTCACAAGATGAGTGGCACTGCCCAATACTGTCACTATGGCGGTATGTCCACTCACAAGATGAGTGGCACTGCCCAATACTGTCACTATGGCGGTATGTCCACTCACAAGATGAGTGGCACTGCCCAATACTGTCACTATGGCGGTATGTCCACTCACAAGATGAGTGGCACTACCCAATACTGTCACTATGGCGGTATGTCCACTCACAAGATGAGTGGCACTGCCCAATAAACTCGCCCCTCGGAGCAAAATTAAAAAAAAAATCATGTTTTGAGAAATGTGCTTCTGCACTGGTGGTCTGAACACGCCTATGGATAGTGCCAGTCAGCTGATAATGGCAAACAAGAAACCGCATTTCTAGTTTGTGGTTAAAAAAACAGCACTTAACCGCAAAATGTGACCAATTACGTGTAACTTTGTGGTGGTGTCGGTAAAATCAATCCTTGGTTGATATTTTC